CCTCCTAAGAAAAACACCTCATTGCTTTCAGAATATTTGTACCAATATAGAAAAATAGATTTTTCACTTTCAATAAGTAATTCTCTATATCAAGGCCTAGCAAAAGTTTTCTGTAGAGGAACAGAAAGTATATATGTTGCTTTCCATAGACCAGGCAATCTCTTATTTTCTTTTTACAACCATCATTGTAGAATGAAAGTAGCCACAAATAATATATAAATGAATAATGTGATTGTCTTCCAATAAAATTCTTTCTTTGGACTCTATCATTTGAATTTCATTATTTTATGTGTCACAAAATATTATTCTTTTGATACTTCTTTTTTACAATTTAAAACTGCAGAAACCGTTATTTATTCACTTTGTATAAAAAAAAATCCTGGACATTGGATTTGATTATAATCTGTTGATGACTCCCTTAATATCCATGCATCCTGATTTTATGATTTTACCAGGAGATTTAGGCATAAATTACATGTCGATTTTCCTTAAACATATTCTTATGAATGCATCTCAACCCAAGTAGTGACTACAAACTTTCCTGTTCATGAAACCTTAGAAAAATGAAGAGCTAGGTTAACCTGATGTTAGAGAGTTTCCAAACTTTACCTACGTTTCCATGCAGTATGCTTAAGCTTTATCTATAGTTCCATTTGTAAATTTTTAACTTATTAGAAATGTGTGGTATAGTTTCTTAACCTCCTCGCCTTGTTCCTCTTCTTTCTACCATAGCCTCTTTTCCTACCTACGTGATTATTAGGCTTCATAGGACAAAAGGAATCTCAGTTTGATGAAGCAAAGCAGGAAATGACAGAGCAAAGAGAACTAATGGAGCAGAAAGGCAAGGGGTGGAAGGAAAAGTTGGAAGAAAAGCCCAAGCGGAGGCAGCTGCTCCTCTGGAGAGGATGTGTGGAGAGAGACAGATCACTCTACCCCTCACTGTTCTTTGCCACCTTTCTTGTCCTCTCCCTGTTCCTCCTGCCTCACCCCCACCTGTTCACCGCCTGTTTTCTGCTGCTTCCTCCTCATTTCTTGACTTTAATTTCCTACTTCTCTTTGACCTTCGTACTGGATGTTTTCATTCCTCTGTCCTCCATCCTCCTTCACGTACTTAACATTATCATTGGGTTTGTCTCTCTGTGGCTAGACAGCCTTCCACCTGCCAGTGCTTCTGAAGCTCCCGGTAGCTACGTCACAGGCACGGCACGTTGGCCGCTATTGGTCTGACTGATCTTCAGAGCAGCACCAACACACCTGAGTCTTGACTTCTGCTCACTGAGGAACACTGAGGTGGCAGTGCATCCTTTCTCCCATGCTTTTGCAGAAAGAAATAGTCCAGCTGGGCTTGCACATTTGCAGGGCAGATGACTACTCTGGCTTCATTATTTTCCTTTTTAACCATGAAATTTAGATTTTGTCATCTTTTCCCTCACACTTTATTGACTACTAGGAAATTCAGGCATCAACTTCTAGTACCGTGTTAGAACTTTAGTTTAACTACAACATTTTTAAAAAATAAGTAGACTAAGTAATGAGAAAGGGTAAAGCAGCTTTCATTTTTAGCATTATTAGGCCTCAAGTAACACATTCACTGTTAAGAATTGGATGTACGCACATGAGTAAATAAAAATCAGAGCTCACTGTTAATTCTTTTTCTTATAAATCACCACTGAACATGTGAGTGTACAAGCTTGTAGAAACTGGTTACAAACTTTAAGGCTGCTGTTTCTGTACCTAAAGTTTGAGGACATTAGTCAAGCTAGATAAAATCTAACAGTTTTTCCATTTATAAAATGAAAATGACAATATGTACCTACCAGGATTTTTATAATTATCAACAATGCAAGGGCTTGCCAAATAGCTCAGTGGATTAAAGCACCTGCAAGCAGACACAGGGGCTAGGGGTTTGATCCCCTGGCCTGTCGTGCCAGCCCCCGGAACTCACTGAGATGGTGATTGAGACTGGTCGTGCCTATGATCCTGGCACTTGGGAGGCTGTAAACAGGAGGATCACTATGAGTCTGATCCAGTAGTGAGACCCTGAACACCCTGTAGACCCTTCCCTAAAACATAGAAAACAAACAAACAGTACAGTTACTGTATTTGTAGTAATTATAACAATCATAATAATTATTACATTTTTCTCTCACTGACATTTACTAGCTATAGCTTTTCTAGGCCCAGTCTCATCACTTGTAAAATGAAGCCATTGCTCATTACCTCAGAGTGCTGTTGCAGAAATTAAATGACAAAATAAATCTACCATACCTAACACAGGAAGCACATCAAGATAATAAATAATGAAGTCTAAGATTGTCTGGTGTTAAAATTGCATTAGCCTTGTCAGGTTGTTATCTTATATTGAACTTGTCTTCATCCATATCTATGGCACTTCTTTTACATATCTTTGCCATCTTAAGCTTGGAAATCCTTGTTTATGCCACTCAGTGTAGGACTTTACTTTTATTACTGTTATCTTTCATCTAATACACTTATATGTCATATCTCAGAATACCAATGTTTCTTTAAACTTAACTCTGGCTCCAGTTCGGTAGCATTGATCTTTGTTCAATCATCCTTTGAAAAGTAAAATCCACACTCCACGGCGAGTCCACATGCCTTGGAAGGCTGAGCTAATGCTTGCTGTTTTCTAAGTCAGAAGTGGTCATGTGCTGGCAGATGTGCATGGCTCAACCGGATATTATTAGACAGTTGAACAGAATAGAGTCAAGCATGTCTTATGAGTAGCCGTGACCTTTGAGAGTCATGAATCTCTGAAAAATCTACTCAAAACAATTTACTTCCTTTCCAGAAACACACACACACACACACGCACTGTGTTTTTATTGCTTCAGATATTACTTTCTTTTATAGATGCAGAATGGAAAACTATTTTCTAACATTTTTCTCAATTTAAATTGCATTAAAACTAAAAATGTAAACCTTAATCATACTCAATTTTAAATTTCAATAAGAAGACATATATTTTTGGTTTGAATGAGAAGTAAATATTGTGGAATGAACTTACATGACCCTGTGAAAATCACTTTTTGACAACCAGTTTTGAGTTTTCATTTTTTGTTCCTACAAAGACTGGGAACTGTAACTCACAAAATGCCTGTAATAGCAAACCACATAGAGTCGGACCCTACCCACTAGTGGTTTACTAGATGAGAACAGGCTTGGTCCAAGAAGTAGAATGGTTTGGCTTTCAAAAAGAATATATATGATAACACATTCTGTGCTCTCTAGTCAGGAAGGTGAACTTTTATAATGCCTGCAGGTTACCAGAGTAAGGATTTGAATCCATGTTCACTTTCAGGCCATCGGAAGAAAAGCACTCTTCTAAAGAAATTCTCTGGTGTTTCCAGGTGTTTATAGATTAGGGCTCAGATAAAAACTGACAGGGAATTTTTACTTTTGATTTCAGCTTACAGGATCACTTCTTCAAGTGAAAGAAGAGCCTTTGGAGCTCTTTGTCTTTAGCCTTTGTTCCATATAGTCTCTTTGGCAAAATGTCTTCCAGTTTTACAACAATATCTATAATGCTGACTGTAGGGTTTTAATAGAAAGGTACTAGTCCTGTCACCACCTTTTTGGTCAGGTGACAGGTAAGCTAATTCAGAATGACATCCCCATACCATGAACATTTATAAAGTGATTTTTTTTTTCTGTCAAATGCAAAGGGCAATGAGTGAACAAAATGTGATCATTATGGTTTGAATTTTAAACATGCTCCCCAAATTCATACATTTAAGACCTGATTTTTGGCAGATGCTGGAAACTTTAGGGAGAGGACCCAACAAGGTGATAACCTTGAAGGGCATATTTTTCTCTAGCTTCCTCTCTGTTTCCGGAATGCCAAAGGGTGAGCAGTTCCCTCTGTCATATACTGCTTCACTAACTGTGAAGAATCAAAAGGGCCAAGTGACCAGGAACCTTTGAAACTATGAGTCAAAATAAATCTTTCCTTTTAAATTATTTTCCTCAGGTACCTTTCTAAATAACATAGTGATTTTGTTTGAAATTAGTCAAACTTATATTCACTTTTTCCTTCTGTATCATGTGAAAGAGGCTCATATTCTGCTCTTACATCTCAGCAAAATCTGGTAAAGTGATTTCTGTCCCTAGCTGTGAGACGCTAACAGAATAATTAACAGAAAACCTGAGATAGGGCTGCCCAGATAGCTCAGCAGACTAAATTGTCTGCTTTGGCAGAACACAGTGGCCAGGCTTCAATCCCCGGCATGCCGCACCAGTCCTACTCTCAGGGCATGCTGAGATGGCGATTGAGACTGGACAAGATGGAGCGCACCTGTATTCCCAGCACTTGGGAGGCTGGAAACAGGAGAATCACAAGTCCAATCTATGTAGTGAGACCCTGTACACTCTGTACACCCTTTAGGCCTTGTTCTAAATTCATAAAAAAGAGAAAACCTGCGGTAGGATAACTTTAAAGCAAAGAGGTTTATTTAGCTCATAGTTTTTGAGATTTACAGTTCAAATAGCATGGCACAACCTCTGAAAAGAGCATCATGGTAGATGGTGGAATGTATTTATGAAGAAGGACATTTAACAAACAGGAAGACAGACTGGATGAGGTCAGCCTCAGGCTTGTATAAAACCTTCTTCAAAGAACTAACCAGAATCTCATGAGGCATATCTTTGTACCTTCCAAGACCATGACCTCAACTGATCTTGGGACCTCCTATTGGGCCCTATCCTTCAAACCTTCTGTGTCCATACAGTTTTTTTTTTTTCAGATTGAGAATTTATTTAACAAATGTCTAAGGAGGAATAAAACATAAACTCAATTATTTGATGTATTACGCACTAGTTTCCTGTGTTGGCATATTTCTATCTTTCTTTCTTTTGCCATTAGCTGGCTTATATTCAGAAAAATAGCAATGTTTAATATTAATCTAAGTAAAACTCACCAGAAACTTACTATCTATGACTTATATGGCCAATCAGAAAAATAGAGTTTTATATTGCTATTTGGGGTTAGTTAAACCAGGACTCCTATCTTTCACATGCTTAATACGCTCCCTCTTTGTTACATACTTTCAAAAATGGACTTCTCTGGACTGGCCTGGACTCCGGTCTTCTGACAGCTGTTATCAGGTTCCTCCCAAGAACCCTCTTTTGGTCCTACAACAGCTGAGTCACCGACTCCTTTGTGGGGAGGAACTGCCAGGGGTGCAGCATGTGTGCTGCCCGAGCCGGCCTTTTTCCGCGAAGCAGGCTCCCTTGCACCACCTGGCTCCGGGGTTTCCTCTCTCCTCACGCTGATTGGCTGCTTGCGAGGGACCCTGGCTTCTGCAGAATGGGTGATTCTCTTGCGAAGCTCTTCATCTTCTGACACTTTCTCCAGTATCAAATGCTTGGCTGCTGCCACTTCTTTCTGTGTTCCTGAGATTTTGATAAGCCTTGATAATAGTAACGTCCCGTCTGATTCTTTGTCACAGGTAATTTTGGCTCCAGAGGCCTTACAGATAGAACGAATTGTCTCGCCACCTCTCCCTATGATTCTGCCCACAGATCTCTGGGGCACTGAGAGCTGTTCAGACACTGGGGTATTCTCTGTCAGGATCTGATGGATTGCTGCTTTGGCCTTGCACACCTGAACAGGAAAACCACTGATAAGTAGCACTCGCTCGTCTCCTACATCCTCTGTGTCCACATCAATCCGAGCACCTGTCTGTTTCCGCAGCTGTTTAATATTGGCTCCTTGCCACCCGATGATAAGCTTCACAGCCTCCTGAGGAACTCGCATCTCTATCTCGATGTCATCTTCTCCAACAAATGTCAGCCGTTCTTCTCTGCTTTCCCTGTACCTGTGGTACAGGATATAGGCAACCGCAGCACTGGCTGGGATCCCAAGGCCCAGGGCTACTTTCTGAATCGTGGACAGGCTCGTCCAAGAAGTTCGCTCAGTGGACATTTTCTGCTGTGCTCTTACATCCGCTCCTCCAGCGTCCGTCTTCACGCGCCCGGTACCGCACCTCGGCCCGGGCACCACCTCCTCCCTCCAGCACCGCGACTCGGCCCGCGGGCCGCGCTTCAGCCCCCGCTTTCCCCTGTCCATACAGTTTGGGAGCACATTTCACATCCAAACCATTCCATACCCCTGTTAAAAACAGATTAGGAAGAGAAAAGGATAACATGGATTTAACCAATGTTTTATGTGACACAGGAGTCTTTAGAAATTTAAACTCAGACCCAATGAAAACTAAATTTTTTTTGTGTGTGTGAAGTCTAGTGAAAGAAATAGATAATGCTGGATAAACATGAGTGGGAAAAGGGTGGTTTAACTTAATAAATTAAAGGCATGGGGACTCAGGCCTGTTTTTTCAGACTCTTTCCTGTCTCCCTGTGTAACAGGTACTCCCCATAGGGTGAAAGATATGACAGCTGTTACCTGAAAATTTTTGGAGTGGGAGGGAAGAGGTCATGGCATCATCTTCCTAGATTTCTTGTGCTTTAGGGGAAAAGAATTCTACTTTCTTTGACTCTCTTGTGAGAGAAATAGGCAGGACAAAGCCAGAGAGACCTACCTGCTTCTGTGGTTTTAGGCATTTTCAATTCCCCTGAGAAAGTTAGCCAGAGATGCTCAAGGAAAATGTGCAGGACAGGTGACATTTACTTGTCCTTACCTGTTGTTTTTCACTGAAAAAACACAGTGTGAGCATCATTCACCTTTTCAGACCACAAGCAGAGCATCATTGTTATGTGTTTATCATAGTACTAAAAAGATGAACTGAAAGCATGCTTCAAATCACATCTAGTGGATACAATGAATAATATTCCATTATTAGTAATAAGTTACTTTGAAATGTTTGCCTTAACCTTCATTATCGTAAATCATCTCAATTATTGGTTAAACATGATAGAAAAAGGAAACTTGTTCAAAAGTTTTCTTTTCATTTCTTCCAATTAATGGCACTTGGCCAGTATGCTTTTTGGCTCAACCTTTATAGACAGTTTTGCTTTCATTCTATATTCACTTTTACTTATGATCTCAGCTTTCATTGTCTCTATGTTTTCCTTCCAAATTCTTTCCATAGGCCAAACTAGTGTTTATATGGTTATTATTTCCATCTGGTTCTTAAAATTATTGAAAGTCTCTCTTGCAGAAATTTTCTCTTAGGTTTTTTCTTTCTGCTTACTTAAGTGTATCATTACTTTTCTTCGAAGCATTCCAAAGAAAAAGCATTGACCAACTGTCTATTGTTCACTTTTATAAGATAATGTTTAAATCAATCTCCATTCTCAAGTTCAGAGATTTTCCTAAGAATAGCAATTGATGTATAATACCTGAATGTTTCTATTAGATCTATTTTTGTTTATTTATTTGTTTGAGACAGTGTCTTACTATGTATTTTGAGCTGACCTTCAACTGAGTTTGTAGCCCCAGATGAACTCAAACACAGAGGTCTTCCTACCTCAGCCTCCTGAGTGGTGGAATGTAGGTGTGTATCACAATCTGATCCTGTCTAATGAAGACAGTCTTGCCTTCTGCATTTGTAGCTGTGCATCCCTACTATGAAGCAGTACATTGCATGAGATAATATTTACTTGCTAGCATCTAAAATTTAATTTTAATTGTTTAAAATCTTAGCTTATAGAAGTCTTAGAGGATTAGAATTTCTTGTTTTCTGATAGTTATCTTGAAATGTATTTAAATATTAATTTATTCTAATCTTTATTTACATACCATTCCTATTGCTCACCGTATTTTTTCTTCTCTGGTGCTATTAATTTAAAGCTTTCTTAATCAGATTAGTGAATTAGTATCACAAATTTCAGAATTTTTAAAATATTGTTTATCCTTTTTTAGAAAAACAAATTTAATAAATGTAAGAATAAGGGTCTTCAGAGTGAAGAGGCATAGAACACTTCCTGAATATTTTTCAGAGCACTTGTCTATGAAACACAGAAAAATCAAGGTCTTTGAGTTGAAGAGGTGGTGTGTGTGTGTGTGTGTGTGTGTGTGTGTGTGTGTGAGGCCTTTTCTAGGTCACATCTTCATGGATCCATAAAACATTGCAGTTCTACAGAGCATTGCATAAAACCACTCAGCTGTGTTGAACACAGTTTTGCAAGCCATGGTGAAATTAAGCAAAGTTTTTCTATTTATAGAAATTTCTTTGATTTCTTTTCTGAGCATTCCTTGAATGCCCACCACTTGAAAAATGCTGTGTTATGCATTACTTGTATCCCACTCTCATTTCCAAAATAATACCTTTATACTAGAAGAAGAGATGAAAACATTATATCTCATCTCAGAAATCAGTAGAACGCATCCTGGGCAACTTGTGGTGATCACGTTGCTGCTAAAGTAAGTACAACATACGCATGATAACTAGCTTTCTTTAAAAAATTTTGGGCCCAACTGTTAAATTCAAATGTCATTGAGCTCAGACGCAAAGCCTTCATAGGTAAGTGGATGCAACTAGAGGCTATACTCATAAGGGAAATAAATGAGACCTACATGTGTAAATATCATATTGTCTTCCTAGTGTAAGAACCTGAAAGAAGAAATAAAACCTGAAGGGTATAACATATATACTAAAATGGAAAGAAATGGAACTTAAGGATTAAACAATGAAGATGAGGGAAAGGAGAAAAGATAGGAGAAAAGGAAGTGAGAAATATGCAAATTTATATACAGGATAGCTGAGGTGATTGTACTAAGAATTTCCATCAGTTTTTTTGACAATAGCAGTTAATGTCACCTTGACTAACTCTGTATGCAGATATCTGCATCTAAGCAATTGCATTGAGGACAGCAATGTGTAATACAAAAGCCGTGCTTGAATACCTGTCATCTTGGTCTTCTAAATGTGTACCATTTCTAATGTCATATCAGTTATTACTATACTCTCTTCAAAATAAATTTTTAAAAAAGGTCAAAAAAAGAAAAAGAGAGACAAAAACAAAAATTAAAGGTTTCTTGAAAGCAAGTAGTGATAATCATATGTTCAATCATACATAACTATATCTGTTAATCTGAGCAACAAGATTTGGTGATAAAAATAGGCAATATATCAACCAACGTTGATCAGCTGTACTTGTTTTGAAAATCTGTAACATGTTCATTGATGTATGTTGCCCTGTTTCTGTCTTTGTTTCTGATTTTTGTTCTTGCTTTTGTTTTTACTCTTCAAATTTAAACACGATTTTCCCTAGCACTGAGGATTACTCTTTTCTTTAGCTGTGATTCCTCTAGGGTCCAACCCTGAATGAGAGGCCCTGCCTGTCCTCCACATACCTCTCCCCACCGCACAACTTTATTCATGCAGTCTGCTCTAAATAGGCTGATGATCTTCTTCTCTTTGTTTACTAAAACTCTGTCCTTGAAGTCTCCTAAGTCCAGTCAGCCAAAAGTAATGGTTTCTTCTCCTATGCCACAAACAGTGCTCTAGTCTAAAACCACACATTAATCCTTTTATTACAGCTATTTTTATATGTTTTATGTTTATTTTCTTCAAATTGGTAAATGCTGCAAGGACAGAAACTATTGCCTTAAGAGACCCACTGAAAAATTTGATTTCCACAGGGGCTTAGTCTGTTTATGTGTTTGTGTTTGTAAACTAAATGAATTAATACACGGATACACAGAAGGAAGAGAAATAAGGGCACTACAGGCATCATGTTAGTGTCCCTGGATGAAATGGTGTCTCAACAATAGGGATAGCCATTTCCTCTCCACTGAATGCCAACATAATCTAAGCATCACAAGAATGGGAGCATTGTAGGTACAGATTCACCAAGCTTTGGGATTCTCCTGATGAACACAGGAGCCAGGAGGAAAGTCCCCGGAAGAAAGGACACTGATCAGTGTAACATGAGGCCTGAGGAATTTTCAAGGTGGTCAAGAACAGGAGAAACCTTCATTAGACTATGATGTCGATGGAACAGAATATATAGGGGATTAAAATCATGCTTAGCATAAAAAGATTTAAAAAGCTAAACTTTGACCACAATGTTTGATGTAAATTATCCTATATCTAAAAGCTGATGAGATACTGAGATATTTAAAATATGTTTATCTTATAGAGAATGAAAATCATTTTAATTTTTAGTTATCAGAGAAAAGACATTTGAAGGCAAGGGGTGCGATTTAGTGGTAAAGTACTAATAGTATGTGCAAGGCTCTAGGTTTCATCCTAGCACTGTAAATTTTTCTTAAAGACTTTAAGTAGAAACATTCATTAAGATAAAGGTAAAAGTTGGGCCAGCGAGATAGCTCTGTGGACTAAATCTCCTGCTTAGGGAAGCTTCGGCGAGTGCAGGGACTGCGATTTGATACCTGGCACCACGTGCCATGACAGCCCCTCCCCAGGGTGGGCTGAGCCGGCCAGAGTCTGGGTATAGCGGTGCACACCTGTAATACCAGCACTGGGGAAGCTGAAAGTAGGAGGATCACTATGAGTCTGAGCTGCATAGTGAGACGCTGCAACAACCAAAATACATTTAAAAAAAAGATTAAGGTGAAAGTGAATGGAGTAATTGTATATACACAATGTGTACGGCATGTACTTACATCTGTGTTTCTCTTCTCAAGAACAGATTTTGCTAAGGGCAAAAATAGCTAAACAAGGCAGATATAAAAAAAGAGAAAGAATAAAATTTCTGGGGATTCTTAGGAAGTAAATGGACCCTATTTTCCAGTTTTGACTGTGATTATGCATCTTGGTAAGCTCTCTTTCATATTAACTTAACACTTTGTCCAACTTTCTAAAAAACAGATTGGCAGGAATAAAGAAAACATGCTTTGGACCAAAATTTGAAAATAGTTGTTCTAAAACTATGGAAATAGTGAGACCATAAGGATGACTACAAGCAGATGTCTCTGAAAAAGTGTAAGGCCCACAAAAATTCTAATTTCCTGCTATCATTGGCATGCTACACTTTGATTTTCAGACTGTCAGTTTTAGATGGCCAGGTGGAGTTGGAGAAAAAAATA